ATTTCTACCTAGCATAAAAACATTGAACTGCAATGAATTAACATTAGTATTACATGTATTTGTAAACTTCAAATGGCAATATATTAAAGAAGTTCTGGCACAAAATTATTGAAAAACAGCATGTGCTTTTGCCATTATTAATACATTTTCTAATGTCATTGATGAACTTGTGCAATGGCAATATTTTTAATGCTCATAAACTCAAAATTATTTGTTGGAATCAGCTCAAACTTATAAGGACATTAATGTGCATCATAAAATGTATTAAAAATTTGGGGTGAGTTTGGAGCCCTTTTTTGGAAAAAAAACCATGGACTATAGTACAGGGTTTTTTCAAAATTTGGAGTTATCTTAAAATGGCTGTAATTTGAAAAAATAAAGTCGGAATCAGCTCAAACTTGCTACACAGCATAAGGACATCAATATGCATCAGAAAATGTAATAAAAATTTGGGGTGATTTCTTAGCCATTTTTTGAAAAAAACCATGGGCTATAGCCTTGGGTATTTTTCAGAATTTTGATGTTTTTTTAAAATGACCATAATTTAAAAAATTGAAGTTGGAATCAGCTCATACTTGCTACATAGCACAAATACATTAATATGTATCAGAAAATGTAATAAAAATTTGGGGTGATTCCGGAGGCATTTTTGGCTCCAAAATCACCCCATAAAAATTACTATGGTTTCTTGTCTCTGCTATTATTATCACCTTGTGAAACAGTGTCAGTGGCTCAGTTAGTGGTTGTTTCGTCACTCTTTGTATCATCATCACTCTGAATTAGTATTCATACATGGCATCTTTTACTGGTTCATTTTCATGTTCAACATTTTCATCTTTCATAAGACGTCCATTTGATTCATCTAGTTTATTCTTCGGTTGGGTCCTCATTTTCTTGTGGTGATGCCAGGAGTGCTGGAATTTCTCCAACTTCAGAAGTTTGGCATGACTTTGGTTCTAAAATTTAATTATCTTTGGAGTGATGGACAAGTACAGGCAACTCACTTTCCTAGAAACAGCAATCAAAAGTAGTCTCGACTAGTAAGTTACTTAGGTCTATAAAGTAAACAGCAGAATTTTATCAACCCTCAGTCCCCCACCCTTGTTCCCTAACTTCCCTCCCACTCCACTGCAGTGCTAGTCTACTGCATTGTTTTGTGAGACCGTGAGTTCTGACTTCTGACTGACTCTCGCAGTCTCGCCTGGTGAGGGTGACCTGGGCTGGGGTCCAGACTACTCGCAGTACACTTATTGAACTATGGCTACTACTCAAAATTGTTTAGGTAAGCTTATACATGTTGTACCTAAGCCTGGATGTTGATGATTATGATGATGGCTAAATCCGCCATTTTATTTGTCATTCATGTATATATGTAGATCTAGGTGTTGATGATCTTGTTGATGTTCTTGACTTGTTAAAGAGATGTGGCTTCCCAGAAATAAAATGGCATGAGCTTGGACTGAGACTAGGACTAAGGAAAAATACACTGGATGCTATTGAAATGAAGTATCATGGTGATCGCTGTATGACAGAGTGCCTCTCCCAATGGCTACGTAGAGTTGATAATGTTGACAGTAGAGGAGGAGCCAACTTGGACTCACTGTCAAATGTTTTACGATTTATGAATGAGAGTGCTGTAGCTGAGAAGTTAAGTGAGTCAAGTCAATTATAACTGTGTGTAACTATAATCATTGTATTTTTTATCATAGAACATCATGCTCTTATTAATATTTTTAATAATTGTCATACTGTCCTGTCTCAGTCTCTTTGTGATTCTGTTAGTATTGC